CCTTCTCCTTTTCAATCTTCGCACGTTGGCGTGCATCGTAGTTAGACTTCATCAATCGCTGCTGTCGTTTTTGCTTAATGCCCTCCTCGTCGAGCTGATCATCCGGAACTTCTAGCAGGGGGAACGTAGGTACTTCGACTTGTTCTTCTTCAACGTCGCCGAGGTCCTTGTTACGAGCCTTCTTAATAGCAGCTTCCAGTTCCTTGACCCGCTTGTTGAGCTGATTCTCGTCGTCAAAGTCGTTCGACTCTAGTACGCGTGCCTTTTCCTTCTTGGTCGTGATCTCCTCCAGTTGCGCCTGCAGTTGTATGCACCACTCCAACTCTTCTTCCTTCTTCTTCAGCTTTTCAAGTCGCATCTTTGCAGCCTGAGCCTGCAATCTTCTACCACTCTCCTTCCGCTTTTCTGCTGCGGCAGCCAGCTCTTCTTCAGTCTTTTGTATTACAATCTGCTCAGTGTAGGGGAACTGGATAGTATGATCTCGGTCTTCCAGACCCGTCCAGTCCAGATAGCGGCTGAGGTCGTTTTCATAGTCTTGTGATACGTAGCAGTGCTCACGGACGAGATCTTCGGCCTGGTTGTCACTGATCTTTCCGGGGAATGTAGGGTACTTCAACCTCAGTAGCTTCAGCAGGTATTGCGCGGACTGGAAGCGTCCCCAGTTCAGACGAGTAGTTTGGGATAGGAGCGGCTTGGAGTTTACCACGGGGATGACATGTGTGGAAGTGTACGAAGAGTCCATGACCAGACCGTTGCGACCGCCGTTGTAGGAGTAGGAGAAGAGCGAATCGATACCGTATGCGACGGACGGTGCGCCGTAGCACTCGAAAAGTATTTCAGACATGGCTGTAGGATGCACATTAGCTACCAACACGGTATTGTCCAGTATAAGCGCACGTACTCTTTCTTGAGTAGCCCAAATTGGCAACAGGCTCGGTCATAACGATGGGCCTGTCGATGCGCCCGGACCGGCCGTCTACACCCATCTTGACGAAGCAGTAGTCGAGCACGCCCTCCATGACATCCCAGTTGTTCACGATGTTGCTGCCAGGCTCATAGACGGGCTTGGATTGACCTCGCGCGGTGCCGTCGGCGTAGACATCTGACCCAACAAAGGTAAAGGTGCGGTTGAGCTTGCGGTCGCGATACCTAGCCATGTTGGGTAGTACTGACAATCGGGGTTTGGAATCGAAGGACCATCCGGCGCGGACTGCTGACGAGCCTGTGATGTGTTAGTCGCCATGGCAGCTTTGGCGCATGCGCAGCCTGTACATACCATTGTCGATGACTATGGCGGTTTCGCTGTTGCTACGCGACCAGCCTTCCTTGTCGATGGGCCGGAAGCCCTCAAAAGGCGGGTCCGACACGCTCCAGAGCTTGGGTGGAGGTTTGGGTGGATTGCGCCCTGCGAGTTGCGGCGCCTCGTCGATGGCCGAGGGAGCCATGGTGGTGAAGTGCGAGCTGGAGATGGGGATGCGACAGGTCCAAGATCAGGGTGTTATCTCATGTCGCGGGTCGGAGATGTGGCGTGTGTGCCTGGCTAGCGCGATTGGTGCTGAGGATGCGCGGCATGGCGACTGCGGTGTGGTGAGGCTCTTGCAATGCTCGGTGGTCCGAGCCCGTCTCCGTATGTTAGGTACGCTACTTCACATGCCGACGGTCTGGATTGCAGTCTTGCACATAGTGCTAACATGATCATATCTCATTACTGCTATCTACTGGCCTGTTTGCTGTCCCCACGTCCTGTAATCGAATTTCTCACCAGACTTGGCCTTGCCTTGGGTATTGTCCCCTTCACACCAAGTATATCTCATCTTGCATGCTTAAGCAGGATCCTTCAGACCATTTGTTGCTATGGCTCGTTAGCGCTATTACAAAAGCATCCCAGCATGACTATGTAGATACCTTCCAGGTGGAAAAGAACGTTAGATTGGTAGTTCTTGAACATCTGAGCCACAAGCTCCGTATCCATGTTTTGGATGTTGATCTCTTGCAGATTCTTGTTCAACATCATGACGGCTTCGTTCAGCTTCTCCTTTCCGGTAGTCAGCATTGTTTCCGTTGTGCATCGAGATGTTGGATTGACTCACGACGTTCACAATGATGCGAGAGAGCAACTGGCTCTGTTGGTGCTCGTGAGGGCTTTCCTAGAAACGCGGTCAGAACTACGCGCCGGTTGCAATAGATTTCTCATGCTGTCCTACCATTTTGGCGACTCGATAGTGTTGCAGTTGATAGTACGCGTTGGAGCTGTTTGGTGGGGAGGATGAAAGCAGTTAGTGCAGAGGATGCACATGCAGGTCCCGAGACGGAACCTTGGAAGAGCTCCACCTCCGCAAGCTCCATCGCGATACAAACACCGAGACTCTTCTACGCCCCCAAACGTTCTTGCCACAACGTACACCCGAGCATCACGACACCTAGACACATCCCTGGACATCGGCAAGCGAACAGCGCGACGAGACCACCGACTGCGACTTGCTGGCTTCTTGACAACTCACAATATGGCACCCCTAACAGCGGCCTCTGACGACAAGACGCATCAAGCGCTCCTGGACAAGCTTGACGTCTACGCGGTACCCAAGCCTTTCCGCAACCCCAACTGGAAGCCTCCACAACGCCGCAACAAGAACCTCAAGCAGATTCTCGGTGAGGCATCGCGCAAAGAAGCCTCAGTAATGGCCACGCAGAACAACAGTGGCAACTCGACACCTGCTGTGGCCACTGAAGGCAACGCAGGCCGCCAACCCAACATCGCCCAAGCAGCCCAGAGCCTGAGCACGCTGGTGCTGGAGAAGAACGGCAGGGCTGCTGCCGGGCCGGCGCCTACATACACCAACATCGAGTCAGCCCCGAGCTTCCACCCGAGCAGTCAAAAGAAGTACTGCGACATCACCGGCCTTCCTGCGCCATACACCGACCCCAAGACGCGTCTACGCTATCACAACAAGGAGGTCTTTGGAGGCATTCGGACCATGCCGCAGAATGTCTCCGAGGGTTATCTCGCCGCCAGAGGTGCACACACAGTCTTGAAGTGAGCATGTCTCGGTGCTGGCGTAGGTATTGCTGCTCCAAAGTCGACTCATCGACATGCGTCTTGCACGGATGGCGCATCGCTCAACTCATCAAATACACGACTACTCGTCCATTCGTTGATATGCGCGAGACAAAGTAAGCTAACAACATGCCTCTGAGCCGGGCGAGGAACACTGCTCAGATAGGGTCTTATTCAAGGTTTATGTATGATCATCAAAGTCAAACTACTCTCCACCCACCACATGCCTCTCGGCTTGTGGCTCAAGGAGGTGCTCCGGCTTAACCGTGATCCAGTATTCTTCTGCGCCCATAAGACAGGATACCAGGGCCTCGAGGGAGGATTCCTAGTTACAGCAGCTTGAAGCATGCTGTTGTCAGGGCGGGATCTATGTTGTAATGATAATTCGAGTGTCTTGTAACTACAAGCGAACAATAAATCGATTGCTCTTCCCTGCTGAATATCAGAGCCTTGTCTAGCTGCTCTTGCGTTAGATGGACTCGAGAGGTGTAGAGGTTGAGGAGCATGCCACCAGAGTTTTATGCGATTACCCGCGGGAACTGCAGCGCTAGCAGGGGTGAGCTTCGGGCCGACCGTCGATTGAGCGCGCCGCGTCTTCACTCGCAAGGGGACACGAGACAGCAAGACGAAAGGTAGCACCTTCATGCCAGATATACATCGAGACTAGGCGCCACTCTACTACTTCCCCTCTCCTACGCCGTCTTCTTCCACATCGCTACGGAATTTCGCACGCCGCGCACTGTACAAACAACAAAATCCCAAGATGCCGACTATGTGGCTTTCAGACACCCAGAGTAAGTTACGCAAACATGCAGCCTCAGTCACCGCATAGGACATGAGCTAACAGCAATGACAGAGATTGGGGTCGCCTTCTGTTCAGGGGGTAGGTACGCGCCCACCACCACGAATGCGCCCACTACTCAGCAGAAGATTGACAGCATGAACAGGCGGACTCTTTCTGATGGGAGGTGTCATGATGTTTTTTGATCGCGCAATGTACGTTTCAACTCTGCATATGCGTACAGCCTTTACTGACATGCGAACAGGCTGGCAATGGGAAACGTACGTCTTCGACCTCCTCGAACCAAGTCCTCCGCTATCGAACCCTCCCTAATACCCCCAATAGATACTCTTTCTGATTGGTCTCACACTCATCATCGGAACAACGAAGACCGTCGCCTTCTTCGCGCGCAAGCAGAAATGGAAAGGCACAGTGGCATTCGTCGCTGGTATATCACTTATCCTGATGCGCTGGGCTTTCATCGGTTTCATAATCGAACTGTACGGCATACTTGTGCTGTTTGGAGACTTTCTCATGACCATTGCGGGCTTCGTCAGCAACGTACCGGTGATTGGGCCATATATTGCTAAGGCACTGGAAGCGATAAGCGGTGCGAGGCGAAATGCTGATCTGCCTGTATGAGATAGGAAGGACAGCATCAGAGCTACGACTTTGACGAGCTATGGATGGGAATGCTAGGATATTGTATTATACGCACTTGCACAGGTAGCGCCCGGGGGTTGCTAGCTACATGACTTTGAATGCAGCATGAATGGAAGGATGGTAGACACAGTCTAGATGGCTCACGAAGCGCTTGTCTTTGTATCTTCTACGAATCACTAGGTGCCCGAGGCATTATTCCAGAACATTTCCGTATGTGAAGACAGTGGATATATTACAGCTCTTGCATAGTAATTGCATACATTGCAAGCGCAGCTTGTCCCATCTAAATGCTGTTGTATAATGGTGGCGTGAGAAATGCTCCGGGTCGCAGGTCGGGTAGGTGGCATGGAATACCTTCACGTGGTTTCGCGTTGACGCGTTTTCAGGTTCCCCGCGATCGCGTAGGTGATCCGTCGCCGCACTTACCAAACTGCTGTCGCGCAGTCAAATCACGCCTCTTTACATCTCACTTAAGGTCATCCAACATCCTTCTCGCTCAACATGTCTCGCGACGAATCGCCCTTCGTACGCGCCCCGGCCGAAGAAGAAGGTTACAACGGGATCCATCGCGCATTCTTACAAGCGTTCCATACGCACAGCGTCCTCACAGTAGACGAAACGAAGTCTATCCTCGCCCATGTGATGACTGCACACAGTCCGTTTTCTTTACGCCATTGCCATTGCACAAGCTGACAACACCGACAGACCCCGAACGCCCATGGACAGCCGGCGACGTAACCCAGCCAAACATCACGTCCACCATACAAACCATAAACGCCAAAATCGAAGCCTTCGACTACGAGATCCGATCAACACGCGACCAGCAAACCAAGGAAAGCATCTACGCCCTCGTTAACAACGCAAGCGACACCGTCACCCAATTCGCTACCACCTTCTCCGCAAACGAAATCGCATACATCAGACGCGTCCTCGACCAAATGTTTGAGACAAATAACACCAACATCCGCGAAGTCATGGCGGTGAAACATACAGAAGCCTCACAGCTTGCTCGCACCTCACGCCGGAACAGACAGAGTCAGGCAAACAGCAGACAGAGCCAGGTCAACGGCGATGCAGACACCCAGGCCAGCGCTGATACGGGGATAACGATAGCCGAGGCAGATCAGGTCCTGGAAACACTCGTCTCGCAAGCCTTCTTCCAAAAGTCCAAAGCGGGTTACTATTCCCTGGCTCCACGCGCGCTCATGGAACTCCGCGCTTACCTCAAGGAAACGTACAACGAGTCTGCCGAAGAAAACGAGGATGGGCGGGAGATCATCAGGATCCGGGATTGTGAGGGGTGTAAGGATATCGTTACGTTTGGCATTAGGTGCAACAACAAAGAGTGTGGGGTTCGATGGCACGATGCGTGTGCTAATAGCTACTATCGGGGCAGAAGCGGGGATCGTAGGAAATGTCCCAAGTGTCAGACGGAATGTACAGGAGACGTGTTTGTAGGAGAAAGGGCGGCTTGGACGGGACCAAGGACGAGCACTGGCGGTAATCGGCGCAGCACGCAGCAGCAGGAAGTGGAAGACGAGGAAGAAGATGAGTGAGAGCACGTGATAAGAGCCAGGAACGTCAGAACGAAGATACCCGTGGGCATTCAGGCGTTGGATGTTTTGTGATTTGGAGTTGAAGCCAAGAATTTTGATTGGTTCCATCATGTATCGCGTTCATCAATCATAAGCCAGTCCTTATTGTCTCCATATCCCAAACTCTCTAGACTTTTGCGAACGCCAAATACCCCATACTATATACATGGTCTAACCCGAACACTGCACTCGGCAGAAGCGTTTAGTGTGCACCGTTGGACTTGCTCTGGTTTGCCCGCCTCTCGGCGACAGCAGATGCAAGGTTCTCGAGAGTGTCGACGGTGCTGTCCCAGTCGATGCAAGCATCTGTGATGGAGACACCCTTTTTCAGACCGCTAGGTCCCTCAGGTGGGACCTTCTGGTTGCCCTCGTTGATGTTGGATTCGATCATGACACCAACAATGCCGGTCTCACCGTTGCGGATCTGGTCGGCAATGTCCTTGGCTACGAGGGGCTGGTTGCGGTGGTTCTTGTTGGAGTTGCCTGTCAGACATTAGTGTGTGTTGGTAGAGCATTTGTGTATACGGGAACGTACCGTGTGAGCAGTCGACCATCATGACCTCAGGCAGGTTCTTCTTCTTCAAAGCCTCCCTGGCAGCCTTGATGCTGTCCTTGTCGTAGTTGGTACCCTTGGATCCACCACGGAGAATGACAAAGCAGTGCTCGTTACCTGCCGTCCTGGTGATGGCAGCCAGACCCTGCTTCGTTACGCCCATGAAGTGGTGCTTAGCAGCAGCAGCACCAATCGCATCGACCGCCACGGTCAAGCCTCCATCGGTACCGTTCTTGAATCCAATAGGGAAAGAGAGACCAGAGGCTAGCTCACGGTGCAATTGTGACTCGGTTGTTCGCGCACCAATAGCACCAAGAGAGATAAGGTCGGCGAGGAACTGTGGAGAGATAGTGTCGAGCATCTCGGAGGCAATAGGCATGCCCGCGGATGTGAGGTCCACAAACAACTTGCGCGACACTCTCAGGCCCTTGTTGATTTTGTAGCTCTCGTCAATGTCTGGGTCGTTGATCAGGCCCTTCCAGCCGACGGTTGTGCGTGGTTTCTCGAGGTAGGCGCGCATGATGATGCAGAGGTTGTCTTGAAGCTTGTCGGCGAGGGTCTTGAGGCGCTGGCAGTACTCCAGTGCCAGCTCTGGGTCGTGGAGCGAGCAGGGCCCGACCATGACCAGGAGACGGTCATCTTTCTGGGTAATGATGCTGGCGGCTTCCTTGCGACCTTGGATGACGGTCTTCTCGGCATGTGCGGGGATGGGGATCTCGGACGCGAGAAGTTGGGGTGGGATCAGCGGGTCGTAGCCAAGTACGCGCACATCGTCGCTCGGGTTGATGGACATGTCGGGTGTTTCTGTTGCAGCGGGAGCCATTGTACAGTGGGTAGGCTATCTTTATGTATATTAGTAGGCTGTCTGAGCGACTGTCGATTTGCGGTCAGTCTTACTTGGACTGTGGCACAGACGTATGCGGATGTACAGCAGCGAGGTTGTACAGGGCGTGCAATAGAGTGCAAGGAGGGGCGTTGAATGTCTCAAGTCAGAAAATCAAGCGCGCAGATGGTGTATGCAGGCGCAGGTCCGAGGTCGGCGAGAATAACAGGCAAAGGGTATAATGAGGGCGTTGCAAATACAGTCATATGCCACCAAATTATTTGGGAAACTTTAGGTCGGGGTGGGGCTGATGGTTGGTTCTGGTCCCGCAGGCTATCGATACACCGTCGACGGAGCTTTGCAGCTGCATGTGCGCCAAGCTCGTTACCCTGGAATTGGGAATCGCCCTCTTCCTGTTGGTCAATGTACGTGTATGTTGCTGCTGGAGCTCGACGACGGCGTGAACATGACCTTTTCCTCTTGGTGTAGTCTGCAGATCGGCCTGGTTTTGAATTCTGCTATGAGGTGGCAGCTGGCAGGCTGGATGGAAGCGTTGGCGGCACTGTCTGACCAAAGCTGCAGCAACGGCTCACTCAGCCCGTATCCCTTCCAACAGCATCTCTCCGACCCCTAGAGGCCTGCATTCAGCTTGCGACATGTCCAGGTGGCTACACACACACGCCTCCTGACACATCCCGCCATGACAAGTGAACGCATGCTCCTCCCCTTCCCCTTGGACATGCAGATACACAGCCCACGTGATGCCGTACCTGCCTCGGTTTCGGCGAGTTCAAGGTTTGGCTTCAGTTGCCAATCACCACTCCGCCACGCTAAGCCACACCATCGTCGACATCATCGCGACTATCTCTCGCACGCACCGCCGGCAAGCGACACCTCGGGCTGGATCTGGACGGGCCTCCAACTCCCGGCAACCAAGTCGCAAGTTCCCCCCACAGTCGCTTGAGGCGCGCGACTCCACCATCCAAGCCTTGGTTCTTTTCATGCGACCTGAAACAGCGCCCCTGATAGTCATATCAACCCCCCGCCCGGCTTGCGTCAAACATACCGACCAGGTCTCTCGATCGCAGTCCCGCTTCCTCAGCCGCACCCCTCTCGACCCTCACTGCACCACCACAATCATCTCGTTACCATTCCACCGACGCGTTGATCGCGTTGCGCCGACGTAAGGAAGGACCACTCGTTTAGTCTACATCACCATGTCTGCATTTCACTTCATGGCCAGGAAGCGAGGGCGCGACGACGATTCAGACTCGGACTTTGACGAGGAACGGTACCTCAAGGTATGTCGGCAATATCGTGTGCCGGGCTTTGGCTAATGGCGGTACAGAAATCCCGACCGGGCAGCAACGAGCCGACCAACCTTGACCAGTTCCAACATCAATCGCTGTCGACCCCACCAAGACTCTTTACGGACATCCGGTCTATGACACCGGCACATTCAGAATATGGAGGAGCGAATTCGCCGGATTCGATATATGGTGGACCTGTCTGTATATCAAGAGAATCAAGTGGCATGGACATGGATATGGATATGGACGACGATGACATGGATGTTCGGAGCCAGCCGCCAGAGTCGCCCGCCTTCAACTCGTTTGGCAGCAACTTCATGCGACCGCCCATGCTCCAACCATCGCTATTCAACTCAGACGCCGTCAACAACAATAGTCGGATACCCACACCCATACACCCGACTTTTAAGAGAGGGGGGATGAGCGGATTGGGTTATCCGATGAGCGGATCAGCCGGTGGCATAGCTATGAACAACTCGAATGTACCGTCCATGCAGGCACCTCCACCAGCCTGGAAGGGACAGAGGCAGGATGTAGACGAAGATCGGACTAGACGCATGCCTTCACCCATATCCGAGGACGATGACATTCCAGATACGCCAACCGCTTTCACCCAGTCACAACTATCGCGACTTAGTTTTTCGCACACCAGTACGGCCGATCAGATGGATACCGAGTCATCCTCCACCTTGGCCCCACCTTCGACGCCTCGCGGAAGGAAACGAAGCGGTGCTTTGACCGGTATGGGACGTTTCAGTATGGGTTACCGGGAAGACTGCGAGAAGTGCAGACAGCGGGTTCCAGGCCACTATTCACATTTCCTACCATAGAGAAGGTGGGCCTAGAGACAGCGGACTCGGGTCATTGGGGTACGGCAGCGTGGCGAACCTTGGTATTTGCCCATGACATTCGCACCACGATACTCACCTACACGGGCTCTTCAAACTTCGTCATCATCATTATCCACACTTACGGCGTGGCGTTTTCATGCCTCATAATCGGCGTTTCATCAGCATGGCGTTCCAGGAGTCTTATCATGCGTTAACGATATCCCTCTAAATGTACAAGTATTCTACTATTCGACGATAGCAATTCCACAAAAGACACTCGTCATCGTACTTGCCACTTGACTGAACGTATCATTGTGCACCGCTCTGTTTCTTAACTGTGCCCAACTATAGCATGTCAGAAACACTTATCGGGCCTTCTTCTCCGGCACCACGAAAAGAAGACCTGCAACAGTATACATCAGCAGGTTTTTCCAAGATGCAATACGGTATAGCGTTACGGTTAAGGCCAGCAGAACATGGTACTGTGTGAAACAAGTGGGACCTGGGGTGTAGTGAAACGAAACGGCACAGCGCTTCCTGTGGCGCAAAGCGAATCTCGTCATTTGTGAAACGAACGATCTGAGGGTTCAGAGTAGGTCTAGACCAGGTTCGCGGGTGTCTTGTGCCGTGGTGTAGATATCGAACGACAGCGAAGGGACTAATCAGGAAGGTGCGACGGGGATGCTTTATGTGAGGCATGTAAGGCGGCCATTCGGGAGTTGGCAAAAGAGTGCAATTTCCGTAGACGATGGTGTCAGTTGGGGATTTTGTATTGGGAAACCCACCAGTGGTGTACGTCGAACGGAGAGGATCAATGATGTCGATTCATGAAGAAGAGTTTTGTGCACTTGTCTCTACATTACGGGACATGATCAAAGTAGCTTAGTATGTTGGCGCGGTCCTTCTACAAGCAGACGCTTATTTTTTAAGATGCATCATATGCCGGTATACTTGATTGAGAATCTTATAGGAACGGCGGGCATTTTAGGATGTATCATAAATCCAATAACAACGAGCAAACTTAGTAAGGTGGTAGTAGCATAACCATCAAAATCAAACTTTGACATCAACTCCTGGGATAGAGCAATACAAAACAAGAGAAACCATCATAGTGATTGTTGCCAGTTCCCATGAACTCACCTACTACCGCCTAGCTAGAATCTTCCTCGTCGGCTGGTGGCAGCCATCGTATGATGCGCCATATATCCCTGATCTCATAATAGCATTCATAATGTTTCTTTGCGTACCGAATGGCGCGTGAGCGGTTATCCATAGCACTGATGTCAGGATCAGGTAAATTCGCGAGCAGCCTCTCGTAGTATGGGTTACTGCGCTCCGCGGGACCCCGGGGCTTCTCTTTCATATACTCACGATACCGGTAAGCTAAGGCATAGGGGTCTTTTCGAATCGGAATAGGTTCAGTCATGACTACAGTGGTTACAATATAGATGTCGTTCCGCGCGAGGGCGAAGTTGAAGTGGAAGTTTGTGGCCTGGTAGAGTAGTAGTAAACCAGGCTGACATCAAGCGTTTATGAGTAGGGACACGCTCGGCTGTGTGACATTGTGAATTTTCGCGCAACAAAGGTTGAATAGATGACCTTGATGTGAGGAGCCCTTTCTATGCACAATGTCGTACTAGAGGAGCAGCGGCCTGGGAGGAATTTGTCAGTGGTGACTGAGTATACCTCGGGTGCCGAAATCGCTCCAAACGCTCATGTAAATCGACACGAGATGGCGGCAAGATCGTAATATTCTTCGGAGAAAAACCGAAGGAAGTTTGCTGCTGCCCGTGGTGAGCAAGGCGCTCCTTTGCCGGGCTTCATTGAGATCGGTTTGAAGACCAATGGCGGAAAGGCATTCTCAAAGCGTGGCTGTCATCGAGATTGCTCTTGTTGGCCGTCAAAAAGCATGTGAGATGACCATAAAAGCGATGACAGGGAGGAAAAGCAGCATCAGTAACAGGGGACTCTGTTGCAAATAAAGGCATAAAGACCCGTGGACATCAGAAGCTCGTACGTCCACGGGTGGACGCAACTCGAGAAAAGGTTGCCAAATGCATCCTATTTAGAGGTATGATGTAGAATGGGATACGACGGAGTACAGACTCTACCGTATATGCTCAGCGACGTAAACAAGGTGTACAGCGGATATAATGCGAAGCCGTTGGAGCGCTCATGTTCCCTTGACCTCGGTCGCGGCTGCATCTGTTTTTGTGGGGCGCAGCATCTTGGCGCCCGCGCTTGCGGGATAGCGGCTAGCGCTAACGCTAAGAGTCTGGCAAAAATTGAGCTTCCGAAGAATTCCTCGAACACCACTTCAACATGTCGTCGAAGTCGTACGTTGTCCCTACACCACGCGCAGTTTCCAAAGCTAATCCTTACCCAATAGAACTGTTCCCACACAGAGTGAGATCACTCTCGTGCCTGAGAACCTCCTCAAGAAGAGGAAGTCTCAGGAGAAGGCTCGTGAGGAGCGCGCGATCGCAACACGCGAGAAGCGAGGTACGACCAACCCCAGCATGCTATCGACGATCCATGAGGGCGATTACGATGATTATAACTACCACACTATCGGCTAGACTACGGTCAATGTTGTCGAATTGTTAACCATCTTTCGGGAATGATGCAATCGTCCTCACTGGAGCTCATGGCATGACACACTGTTGCAGACAGCGCTGACATGACACAGACAAGAGCAAGAAGAAGCGCGAGGTCATCTTCACGAGAGCCGAGAAGTATGTGAAGGAGTACCGCGATGCCGAGCGGGAGCGCGTGCGCTTGTCGCGCGAGGCCAAGAAGAGCGATAGCCTATACGTCCCCGCCGAGCCCAAACTCGCCTTCGTCGTCCGGATAAAGGGTATCAACAAGATTGATCCCAAGAAGCGCAAGACACTGCAGCTTCTGCGGTTACTTCAGATCAACAATGGCGTCTTCGTCAAGCTTACCAAGGCGACTATGGAGATGCTGAAGATTGTTGAGCCCTTCGTTGCTTATGGCTACCCGAACCAGAAGTCGGTTCGTGAGCTCATCTACAGTAAGTTCGGTACAGATGCAAGTTTACTGCCAGATATTAACTGGGATACAGAGCGTGGCTATGGCAAGGTCGACAAGCAACGCCTTCCTCTGACGGACAACGAGATCATCGAAGAGAACCTTGGCAAATACGGCATGATCTGTATGGAAGACCTCATCCATGAGATCTGCACCGTTGGGCCGAACTTTAAGGCTGCTTCGAACTTCCTCTGGCCGTTCAAGCTTAACAGCCCTACTGGTGGCTTCCGCAAGAGGAAGTTCAAGCACTTCATCGAAGGTGGTGACTTGGGCAACCGGGAAGACAAGATCAACGAATTGATCAGGCAGATGAATTAGACCACGCGAGGTCAATATTTTTTGGGTTTCGTCTCTGGTTTGGGCGTGAAAAGCTTTGGGATATACCACGGGAGTGAGCATTTACATCGGCGTTTGGGACCTCTGACCTTTAAGTATCACGGTCACTTGACGAGTCTACGTGCAAAACGCATGCAATCTGAATGAATTTGAACTGTTGCGCTGTGTTCGCCTCATACAACTTGGCCACCAGAATCTCGTGCTCCTTCGGCAAGGACATTGCTGTCGTCGTGTATTTGCCAGTGTCATGCGATGCGGATTAGCGGCATGTATTGCCAGCGCACCACGAACGCGTTGGGCACTGTGTGAGCCGAAAACGCGCGTGCGATCAATCTTCCAAGCAGGAGCCTTGGGTACCTTTGAAATGCGCAGGATATTCGCAGTAATTGCTTTTCATGGCCGGTCTGGAAGGTACCACAGGCTCAGACGTTTGAAATGGGTAGAGAGGAAATATCTCACTACCGCCTCAGCCATCTCACGATGCCTGGCTATCCTCACACTCGGTCACGTGCTACTCCTGCGCTAAGCCACTTTGATTTGAAGTTATCTTAGCAACATCGCTTGCCAATCCAGTACCGCGTGCATCTCCTTGCCGGCACTTATTTATTCCTTCTCCAGCCCATAGTGTTCGCCCTCACCGCATCCCTGACGTAAACTCAAGTGCCGTGAATATCGTTGTGGACGACGTAGCGTTCGACTCCACACGAGACAAATATTGCCTCCTACGCGGGATGGTGAAGTCAGCTGCATGACCAACACGATGTTTCTGGTGCCTGATGGAAAATCACGGTAAGGGCTGCAAGCGTCACTATGGGTATTGATGAGCTCGAGGGGCCAATCCGCGGCCAAGGACGTGGGCAAGAAATATGTTGGACGGTGTGAGTGGAGCAGGTGCCGGCCTCGAAGGCTCGAACATCCTCACATGCATCCCAGTGCATACAGTGGGCACCTGCTTACGATATTGCACCGAGCCCAGAGGGGGGCGCCGAGCGCTTGGGTTGCCAGTGACGATTGCACGAGCAGCAATTTGGCGACGAGGACGTTGATGACGCTCGCCTACAGGCACCAGGCAGTCCGGTTTCGCCGCCGACGTTGTCACTGCCACGCTACCATGGGCATCAGATTCGGGATCGATTTGCATAAGTCGCGCTGATCGCGACACCCTCCGTCTTGCCCATGGTAGGACGTGGCCCCGCCCGACGGACAAGGCCAGGCGTCGCAGGAGCGCTCAACGGCCGCGGCACAATTTTGCACTGCGAACGGGTCCGAGTCGGTGGTGAAGTGCGCGATGGCAGTGCTATTCTTGGGCCCGGCGTATTGCCACGGCCACGACACGAGAGCAGCTATCAAAACAAAACGCAGCCTGGCACGGGGCTGCGCGTCGCCCAGTGCAAATTGACTCCTGTCTTCACAATTCAGGCACTCGAGCACTGTTCACAACCCAAGCAGCTCAGATGACAGGTGCTCACCACGGCGCAGCGGACCAGTGAGGCCGCTACTGCAGGCGCGCCAAAAGAAGAGGGCAGGCCGGGTTGCGGGCGATACGTGGCGGGCTTCTGTCGCGGGTGCAGAGGGTGGTCCCTGGCAGCGTTCATTGGCCGCGAGCGGTGGAGTTGTGCAGCGCTGCACCACGACTGCAGCGCTCCTGCGGCGAGAGTCATGAGTGCCAGTCACCGCAAGACGCGGGCTGGAGTCGACGCTGCGACCCACTAACTGCAAGAGGCAGAGTTTTCATAGCACATGAGTGGAGGAGCGGGCAAGTAATGAACCATTCTTGCAGGTGCGGCCTTCGGATGGCGACGGTCTTGCGGGCGTCCCAGAGCCCCTTCGCTGCTGCTGCTGCTAGGCCTTCGCTAACGGTGTGTGTCGAATACACCCACATCACCGCCCTCTGCCCTCCCCATCCTCACTCTCCCCCGTGCCCCGTCTCCCCATCTCCCTCGTCCTGTCGTCGTCGCAGGCGTTGCTCGTCGCGACACAGTCCCCAAGCCCCAACGGACGTGCGCCCCCAATCTCGGCTGTCCGGCATCCCCAGCCCGCTCACCAGCACCTCCCGACGCTTGCTCTGTCTCGCGGGCTTGCAAACGAGCACACCTGCACTCACGGGTAGACGTGTCCGTCTGGCTCCGACACCCAACGCCTCGTCCCCTCCGCCGCTGTCCACACGCTGCGAGTGCTTTCTTCGGCTTTGGTTTGGGCTTGTACTGTGTAATAGTCCTTGGTTTCAACCTGTTTTCTTTTGCCGCCCATCCCCAGGGACCTCGACTCTCCGCGACATCTCCCACCACGACTTCGCATCGCCGGATCTATTGACTTAGCCCCGGTCTGCCTGCGCTCCATCACCCTCGAGCTGCCCTTCACCTCTCGCCGCGCCCTTTGCCTCCCTTCCAGGCACTTCTCCGGCCACCCACCGCCTCCGCGCAACCACCAGCGCGACCCATTTCCACCGCCCATAAACACCTCCCGGACGTCGCATTTCCTTGAATGAGCACATCTTTCTAGAGGGTCCGTAGGCAACTCTAGAGGCGGCGCGAACGAGAAGACTGTACGTCACAAGCCCCAAGCCGCTGGCCACGCCCGTCACGCCAGCACTCACTAACACGACGCCAGGAGCCTCGCCAGTCTTCTCTCTGCGGCAGTCCCACACCATCATGCCCTCCTTCTACCCCCGGCATAACATGCCACGGCTATCTCCCCAGGAGTTCGTCCCCAGCTACCACTCTGCCTGTGGCGCCTCATACCCACCGCAGCAGCCCGCGTACGCTGGCCCCGCGATCCGGCAGCAAGATGATGGTTACGACTTCGCAGACCGCTACGGCCAACTGGCCATCGCCATGCCACCCATGTACCCGCAGGCCGGCACCTACCTCAGCAGTGCGCCTCCCAGTCTTCCACCTGCGAGCTCCTTCTACGATCCCATGGGCGCAACCACCCTGCCACCCATGCGCGCACAGTCCGGCCACGCGTTGGCAGAGGCGGCTATGCAGCAGCAGCGCGTGCACGAGTACAACCAGCGAATGAGTCAGCCCGCCAAGGAAGAGAAGCCTGTCGGCGGCGTGTCTGCAAAGCTGGACTATGACATGGACGTCATGACCGACTTCGTGTGCGAGACAGCCCTACGACTCATCACGCCCGGCCGCATGATGCCCTCGTCGTTCCGCAAATGGGTACACCAGGTGCTTTGCGCCACACGGCTGCCCTCGGCTACCATCCTGCTCAGCATGTACTACCTGTCCAGCAGGATGCCTATGCTCGCTCACGAGCCCAAGACCGACACTCACCTGTTCCGTCTCCTCACCATCGCGCTTGTGCTTGGCAGCAAGTTCTTGGACGACAACACCTTCATCAACCGTTCGTGGTCCGAGGTTAGCGGTATTCAGGTTCATGAGCTGAATGAGCTGGAGCTAGAGTGGCTCGTAGCAATCAAGTTCAAGCTTCATCGAGATCCATCTGAGCAGCATGGTTGGACATCATGGTCAGAGCACTGGAAGGACTACCAGAACAGTGCTGCTGCCCGCTCTGGTCGCAGCAACAAGCTCAGCCCTATCGACACATCGGTACACCGACGCTCACTCAACCCCAACAAGCCGCTTCCTCCTCTGCCGATGCACCAGGCCTACACTCCACCGTACGACTATGCGCCCAAGTCGGCACACTCTGCATACAACCCTCCGACCTACTCGCAGTACGACCCATGGCGGTCCGCTAGCGAGCACTCTCCTGCGTCAGCACCGACCACGGGCCCTACCACCCCAGAGTACTACGGCACAACGGGTACTTGGGCTCCAGCTGAGGGATACTCGCGTCGCACCATGTTCGGTTTCCCACCCTTGTCTCAGCCCGCCCCTGCGCAAGCGCTTCAGCAGCCGTCCAATTATGGCCCACCCGCCTACTCCACTCAGTACACACCGTCTGCATGGAACCAGCATGGTCTCAGCTGCGGATGTGCCTACTGCGTGCAGAGGCACCCGCCTTACTACATGGCTCCTGGTTATGGCCCACAGGCTGTTGCCGTCTAATTGCCCGCCACCTACCGGCCGCATATCAAAGCGACATCGCCTTGCCACACCTTCACGGATACATATTCGGCTGCCTATTCCAGCACTTCCTATGTTCAAAAAGTTACCTTCTGTTTCGCGAAGTACCATGGCCTACCAAGCCGACCCAGTTCCGATCACTGGACACATCTGGCTACTTCGATTCCCTCGAGTCTAGACTATCAGACACTCTCAAGGTGCCATTGCCTTATTCCTTCTGCTATCTGCAAGCATATTGGTGCGCCTCCGGATCTCACGAAAACGCACAAGGCTTGCGATCATCTTGCATGATAGATTTCACTGGTTCTTTTTCCTTCGTTTTCCTTCACTCTTTCCTTGTATCACCGGTATTACGTTTTAGACTTTGGTTTGTCCATGGTCTAATAGGAGCATGTCAGCGAAATTGTGGGTTACGGCGTTCCTGCTTTTACCTGGGTGTCATCTCGCACCTTACGATTGTTCATTTCTCTAGCGCTGCCTCAAGAATGTTTACGGGGCTGCCTATCTCGGTTTATGGATTTCTCTTCTCTGGAGTCGGCTTTTGCACTCGGCACACCAAGCCTCTCCATGCGACCAAGCCTTCGGTAGCGACCAGCATCACGCCACCACCGGAGGGTCGCTTGTTACGTTCACGACTTCTTTCCTCGATCCTCGCCTTCCGCTGTAGTCGGGTTGTAATTAATGGCACAAGATCAGCGATGGGATTCGCTTTATTTCTTTCGGAGTGGTGGAAAAAATACCTCTTGCTTTACACGGTTCTGTTTGGGCATTGCTTTGGGAAACGGGAGGGAAGATTTGCTTAGTGTATAACTGTCATACAACGAGATACCCTGACAAGGGGGTAACATCAGAATGCGAAAAAAAAAACATCCTAGAAAAGCGGCACAGTCGCACAGGAAACGCCAAATTCAACTCTACTTCTTCTGGCATCCGTGGCTCTCATTGTATGTTCGATTATGTGACAGGTCTTGAAATGTGAGTCAGTCACACATCCTTCGTTTGAGCAAGAAGCCACGGTGCTAATCCCGCAGTGACTGTCATCACGGAAGCAACCCCGACCGGCTTGTGTAAATCAAGCAAGGATAATGTTTCGGTCATTTCGATCTGGGCGTAACATAGCCTGGGTAGTTCGGTCTCAACGCCACCCGGCACCACTATCAAGCGTTCCCGCCATCCCGTAGAACCCGTTCTGACAGACGACGTTGGAGCACTGGATCCCGTGTGCTTCCGCAAGAGCGCATTACACGCGAGCGTTTTAGATCTGCTCCAGCCGTGTGTATGTGCAAGCCTCACGGATGAGGTCGAAATAGATGGCCGCGGCCGAGTTGACTTGCGACTGAAAAGTAATCAAGGTTTGTCTGTATGCCCGGTATGTATGAGTGACCCAAAGCTAAACTTCACTCGATCGATGCTCGTCTTCCAACACGTTATTCGGCGAGTAAGAGCAAACCATGTAGTAGCAAGATGCAGCAGGATCGCTGTAGCCTAACTCTAGATCATCTTAGCCGTCCTTCTAAGTTTGTTTGTTCCGATCTTGGCTGGCTCAAACAAGGACTATAGATCAAGATGCATTTTGGCTATAAATCGTCTTCTAGAGTATGCTCAGGTCTCTAGTACATCTGGAGAGTAACTGAAACACGCATTTGTCTTATTACGACAAAAGCATGTGTGCTGAAAGATCGGCAGAGTGCTTAAGTAGACGTGCGTGAACTTCCAGAGCGCGTCTGTATCATGAGTTTATATAATAATAGAACCACAATGGAATGCGGCGAGATCGACTTCACGCTTTCCTTCATGATTGACAGGAATGTTGTTATCGGAAATCACGTCGTATAAGTGTTGAAAGGTAGCCTGGAGGGCTCTCGGTAGTAGCAAGTATCTAGGTACTTGCGTGCCAGCCAATGTGCATAGCTGATCATGTGGCCTCCCCAGGCCATTCTTCAACCCACCCGACTAACTGCTTCAACACTCGATCTTGCACCTCTTTCACTCCCGCGTTGACCTTTCCGTTCTTCGTATTCAAGTCACTAGTGTGAACACCGTCAGGCACAATTTCCACTGGTACCTGCTCGGTACTCTGCAACGGGCCTCCGGGTCTCCCTTTTGCCGAAACACTGATCTCTCTCCACGGGTCGAATTCGCCGTTGACGAAGATCAGCCGGCTTGTGTTGGTGATATTCCAGCCCCCAAAGTACGTATTGAAGTGCTCTTCGGTTCTCCCCGCTGCGAGACCATATGTTTCTCCATTCGGTCCAGGGGGGAAATATAGTCCGCACTGACGAACCCAGTAGTCTGTTGTTATGAGGCGAGAAATGAGCGATGGCCGTCCTGAGGGAGCGCCGACTTTCCAGTTTCCGAAGGGTTCGTTGCAGTTCATCCAGAACCATTGCCGGTTCATGGCGTTCCTCGGCGTCGTGTCGGTGAATAGTGGGGAGCTTGCATTGTAGGTATTGAAGCAGTCAGTATTACCTGTAGTGTTGAATTCAGGATAAAGATCCCCGGCGCAGTAACCGGGAAGTTCGACCTCTCTCCACCATTCCGCGTATCCTTCGAGCGCTTTATCGACACCAACACCAGCTTCAGACGGAAGGTCGTTGAGGGTGGCATTGACTGCGTTTTCAATATAGTCGCAGAACGTGAAGAAGCCCGTGTTGTAGGTGAACTGATTCCCTAGCCAGAGATAGGGACCACGCGCTAGAGCGTTCATGAAGTCGTCGTTGTGAGCGACGTCTTGCATGCCAAATTTGGCCTTGAGTTCGTGTTGCTCATCCCGAGAGCCAGCGCTGAGGATATCATCCATATGGTCGATAACAAGAGAGATGTCTCTACTACAATTCTTCGGCATAGCTTCTTGTATAGGAAGGAAGTAGGCCCAATAGTCAGAAACAGATTGAACTGATGCACTCGAAGCGTAGTAGGCCCATATAGTGCCCGGGTCGAGGCTTGCAATCCACACTAGCAGGGCAGCGAAGTAGCTACCTCCTATAGCTACCCATGGAACATCTTTGGCACTACTGCCAATTCTCTCGTCGGTAGCGAAAGGTAATTGGACTTGACGTGCGAAATACGTTATATCCTTCATGCTGTTCTCGACAGTAAGGTACTTCAGGTTTTCAGTGGTGAAGTTACGGAATGGTGTGCTATCGCCCCAGTAACGGTGTTCGAGAACAATTGTAGCTGCGCCAATCTGCTCAGCCAGGGCTCCTGTTGCATGGCTGGGGGTTAAGAAGCTGTGGTACATAGTAGCGTTGACTTCTCCGGGCGAAAACAGTATCACCGGCGAACCGGGACCCCTCCAGTACGTTGTGTCGTAGTAGTAGAACTGGTCAAAAGTCCCCAGGTTAGGGTTGTTGTGGTCTATCAACTGTTTGAAAGTGCTGTTGTCGTAATAGTGTTTCTTCGGCAGTGGTTCGCTGCCTCTCACGGGTGGAGTACAACCCCAGCCTTAATCGGACGTTAATATATCCAGTTTGTACTCTACCCATGTAAAGACTTACCTCCATAAGGACCGCAGTCATACCAGTCCTCGCCATGAGATTTATCGGCATACCCGATATGAACGTGGTCTTTCTGAGCTTCAGTGGGAATCGAGAGAGCGGCTAAAACCCACAGTCCTTTCATGTTAGGCAAGATAGATGGAACAATTACAAAGTATACTGGATGTTGCAATCAGCTGTAAGATTATTATAATCACTCTGTGTACGTCAGCAGCATCTATGTGCCGAGTGCAGCCCGAATAGATGAGGTACCTAACGAATCGACAAGACAAGACTGCTGTTTTGCTTTCGTGGACCAGCCCCAGGTCTAAATTCGCCTATGAAAGACCCCCACGACGACAATACATGTCTATTTCTCCGATGTGCACACCCTGTTGCGTTGTGTAATGATCGACGATGTCCCTAGGCAACTGAACGTCGCTCAGCACCCGGGCAGGTATTGTGGGCCACGCTCGCCTCATCTACAGAACTATCTTTGTTCATACTGCGGATCCGATCGATATCGAAATGCGTTTGACACCTGCTCGAGATCGCGCTCAGCTCTGTCTTCCAAGTCAGCGATCAAGAGAACGGCCCGTAGCGCTTATGTGGACGGCTCGTATAGTTCTAGGAAGAGGGGTCATGCGAGAGGTTCCTACATAGGCCCGAATTTTGCTTAGACGGTCGCAAGAAAACCCGAGGTGGCTGCAGAAAGCTTCCCGCGTCACCCTGCTGTTGGGAGTTTGGAGATTGTCGGCCCGGACCCAGGAGACGGGGCCCGTTGCTTGGCAGCGTTCTGATCGGCCGCTCACGCTCACGCGCACGGACACAAACATCGAAGCTTCACGCGCGCAGAAATCCTCAGATGTTTTCATGTCTTATTGAAATGGCTCAATCTGTTTCGAGGCCCAGATTAAGTACATTACAATCATTGCTAACATAACATACACAGCTTCAGATCATGTGCTACGCGGCAATGCGGCTGCCTTGGGCATGGCTTCTTCACTCCAGCCCGTACTGATCTCAATATCTCTTAATGCAGAGTATTCTTCTCCTAATTTAGAAGTTTGGCGGCTGATCATATGTGACGAACTACACCACTTTCTTCCCGAATATTCTCCCGAACGACTACTCATAATCGTCCCGCTCGCATAGCACGTGTCTTCTTTCATCCACTACTCTTGCATACTCTAACAATAGCCGTAGCCAGTATAGCTCCATATCTGCCTTACGGAGAACTCGGCGGCTCCATATCGCCGCGCCCTCGCCAATTGCTGCGGCATGCCTGTCATGATTCTCACAACTCTTCCCTCGACAACATCCGCCGATAAAGAAGCAGAGTTTGTGCCAAAGGTCGGGAAGACTGCCGAGGTCGAAGGGGACGAAATGTTTGTACGGTACGAGCCGCGAGCGGTGCCATTCTTCGAAGATAGTGGCCTTCAACACTAGGGAGCCCGTCATGAGCAATGCGCGGAAACGAGCTACAACTGATGTTATGCCACATATCATCATTTGCGAGAACAAGAGTGCCTACCACTGTACGCGTTGCCATCAATGTCTGGTAGGTACTTGTACGTGGCCATGTCAGCCATAGATGTATGCGCTGCAGTTCGGAAATGGTGATCAAGGTAGCTGCAGGCATCCCCGACGTCCCAGCCTCGCCCAGCGCAGCGCAGTTGTGTAAAAGCACCGTCCAGATGCTCGTGCATCCATTCAAAGTGCGGTGGTTTGGGTGCTGCTTGATTCAGAGAAGCATTGGCCCAGTCGATCTGACCACTGCTAATAGCCTCGAGAAAAGTGGAGTTCATTGACGCAACAAATCGATGGCGATGAGACTTCATCCAGGTCAAGGAATTATGTCTGCCACCGGTATTGGAGCCACGCCAGATAGCCTGCAGAGACGAACATACGAAGTCAGTATATGTCTCATATGCATCTGATACAACCAAAACTTACCTTGTTGCGCTTCTCTGACCACGCCACACCAATAGACGAGTTGACCAGATGTTCGGGGAGGGTAAAGCTTGGTATATCCACCCAGGTATGGAGGTCAGGGACCGTGATCTCGGCGCTCACGTGTCGCATGTGCGTTGCCGAGAAAATAGGAAGAAGGGTCGATGATGTCGACACAAGGTGAGGCGCCAGCATCGTGCCGTGAACAGCAGCCAACTCTGGTCGATTGCACACATCCTGAACAGCAGAATCCGAAAGCGGTACGTGATCGGTTGACGCATTTCTCGGAGGGCAGACAATGCTGCGCAAAGAGTATGGAGGGATTTCTACGTGTAGTCCAAACTTTAGCTGGCGAAGCTTCGCATATGACGGTACCGCAGCTTACCTCGATTCCACCCTTTCACGACGTCTTCCGTTCTAGCATAAAGTGCTTTGCTGACACCTCCATGAATATGACTTTGTGCGCCTGCTGAGCGAGACACTAATCGACTATGCTGGCGTGCCTGCTGTCGGGCTCTCTCCATGACGTCCCAAGGAACGAGCACACGAGGCGAGGCATGCACACTCACAGCCACGTCAATGTCTGGTAGCAACGGAGCGATTCGTCTGAGCAATCCCAGTTGATCGTCACAGGTCATGTCTTCTCTCGGGCAGTTGGCCCGGACTTCTCCACGTCGGAATGAGAAACCCTGGAGCCGTTCGATTTTCTTTTGAAGCCCGGCGAGAGAGACCAGCGAGGCCGCAGCAGTTTGCGTGGCCTGTGCTGTGATGCCCCAGAATGGCTCCAAGTCGTCATAGATTTGATCCCAGAATGGCTCAATTGATATCCCTTTCAACTGTTGGAGGCGCTCATGAAAGGCCCGGAAGCCTGGAGGTGGACATCGTGCGCGTTGGTGCCGATATGATTCTACCGCCTGTGCGTATGTGTGCGTTTCTTGAACCGCCAAAGACTGGAAGTAGTCCTCGGCATCGTTGATTGAACGCTCGAGAGGGTGCAACGGAGTACGCGTTCTTGGATACGTGATAGACACACTATATGTTGCAATCACAAGAAAAGCACACGCCAGAAGTCGGTAGTGTTGCATGGTCGTAGCGAGTACAGGCACGGTAAAATGTTCAGTGTGAAAAGAAGAACATTTAGATTCATTCTCATTCTTTTATTTCGAACCAAGTCGCCTTGTCCTCGACTCTTCCTTCGTCCACTAGAGCGGCCCGATCGTTCCCTGCTCTCTAACCTCTTCCAGCGCTGGAGCTGGTCCATGATCCTTGAACAGATAAACTTAGGTCTCACGCTTCTCCGATCCAGCGTCCGGCGCGGGAGCTGGTCCGTCATCCTTGAACAGATCGATGTAGGTGTCACGTTTCTCCGATCCAGCGTCTGGCGCGGGAGCTGGCCCATCGTCTTTGAACAGATCGATGTAGGTGTCCCGCTTCTCCGACCCAGCGTCTGGCGCGGGAGCTGGCCCATCGTCTTTGAACAGATCGATATAGGTGTCACGCTTCCCCGAATTGGCCCTTTCAGAGCGTTTGTAGGCGCCACCACCCTCTTCCGGCGCGGGAGCTGGCCCGTCATCCTTGAACAGATCCACGTAGGTGTCGCGCTTCTTAACGTCCCTCAATTCTTCTGCATGAGCTTCGACACTTAGTAAGTTTACTTTCTTATCCGTGGGTCAGGGAAGGACATACGCGAAGCGGTCGCTGCTGACAAGCCAGCCAACGCGACGAGAAAAATCAAACTCTTGTGCATCTTGGAAAATGTGCGTAAACGAGAATATGATAATCGTTTATGAGGATCCGTCTTGGACAATACAAGGCGTTTGTAGGGCGAAAGATGATTATTCTGTGGGGTTTCTGCTCAGCTATTTGTACATCACTCTCCACTGGTAAAGACATCGATGATCGAACACTTACCTGGTGATAGAGTTGCTCTTCTGCATCGTGACGCGGCCCGTCGAACTTACGAAAGAGCTGACCGAGCAGCAACGCATATCTTGAAAGCTTAAAGAAGTGCCATGAACCTGTACTCACTACGCTGGTTTACCATGCGATGACTATCCCTACTTGATGGGTAGTTTGATAGTAGTCGGCCGAGCCGTGTCTCGATTGAACATGATTGAACATTGATTGTAAGGTTTGTCACTTGCATAGTGCATAGTGAGGCTACCGATAGGACGTATGGGAGAGTGAGCAGAATAATGACGTATCTCAAGCTTACCGCCGAACTGCATACTGAACCGGAACTGCCGTGTTGTGACTACCTAGGTACCCCCACTCATTCGTTGGGATCTGTCAAGGTGCCTTCTGACCGAATCGAATACTTCGAAAGTGAAGCTACCGTCTATGACGGAATTATACTGCATTCATTTGGTGGGCGCTAATCGCTCCTATACACTCAATGTAACTAGATAGACTGAAGCTCCGGCTAACCTGACGACACTTCAGACGGGTATACCAGCTTGGTTCGCCTCTCTTCCAGGCTAGCGTTGAGCATGAACATCTCACCGCAATGTCTGATATGTCCCTCATCCGATGCGGTCATATGCATCACGATGCCTGTGAATTGCTGTCGGAACTGCTTCCTCCACGAGAAGATGCAATGCACAACATGTTGCTCGTAGGTAAACCATATGGTCCTCCCGGGCTCGATCAGCATGGATAGCTCGGTCCCGTTGATGAGACGGTACTTGCCATCCATCTCCGTCTGGTATAGCCAGGCGCCCCCCTTGTCAGAACGAGAGGCTGTCGTGAACTCATGCGTGAGATCGAAGTCAATGCATTCCGGTCTCAACCAACATAACTCAATCTCATCGAACTGGCAGTTCCGCGAAATTCCCTCGGCAGTTGTGAATCCGCACAGGCATGGGGCGTCATCCCGTGTCAGCGTTTCGATCGCTTGGGCTCCGACCGTGTAAGCTCCGCATATAGCCAGGGTAGCAACGAGAACGGCAGCAACTGTTCGTAGGATGAGGTTCTTCCGTGGCTTGGATGTGTCCTTGCTGCTCTTTGGGTAGAGTGAGGTAAGGCCGATTCGCTCCTCTATGGTGCTTTCAGATTCGGCTTCCGCGCCCATGCTCGACTGTTGGAGAACAGTCATGAAGCGTTGGAACATTGATCCTGTATACTTATGATTAAGCTGAGTCCTGGCTCCGCATTCGTTCCATGTGGGTTGGTACCTTTCTTTCTGTTTTACGG